ACCACCCAACTTGCCCCTCGCACCCACATCCTCACCAGGGAGCGTGTTGGTCCATGTCACCCCAGGGGGGGACACACTGGTCCCCCCCCTCCCCCTACTTACAGTAGACGGTGAGGATGATGGTGGCCTGGGTGCGGGTTTGGAGGTGGGTGTTCTCAGCCAGGCAGGTGTAGGTGCCCGCCTGGGCGCGAGCGATGGCGGCGATGACGTAGGTCTGGCCAACGTGGACCTGGGAACCGTTGTGGAGCCAGACGTAGCGGCTGGGGGGGTTGGAGGGAGCCAGGCAGCTCAGCACCACGTCCTCCCGCTCGCCCGCCGAGAAGCCCCCCTGCTCGGGGGAGAAGGGCTCCACACTTATGGCCGGCTCGTCGGGGCCGTCTGCAGTGACACGGGGTCCTTCAGCCACAGGAGTGTCCCCGTTGAGGGGATGCAGCACTCCCAGGGGTGTCCTCCCACTGGTGGGACACCAGCATGGGAAGCCTCCTTAGAAAGAGTGTGCCATGGTGGTTCTGAGGATGTCATCATGGTGCTTGGTGGCCATGGAGCCACTATGGTGGCAAGATGCTTGGTGGCCATGGATGTACCATGGTGCTTGGTGACCATGGAGCCACTATGGTGGCAGGAGGCTTGGTGGCCATGGGTGTACTATGGTGCTTGGTGGCCATGGAGGCACTATGGTGGCAGGATGCATGGTGGCCATGGGTTTACCATGGTGCTTGGTGGCCATGGATGCACCATGGTGCTTGGTGGCCATGGACATGTCATGGTGACTGTGGAGACACCACAGTGATGGCATGCATGGTGGCAGCGTGCTTGTTGTCCATGACCATACCATGTTGGCATCATGGTGGCCATGGATGTATGATTGCGATGGGGTGCATGGTGCCCACGGATGTACCATCGTAGTTATGGATGTACCATAATGGCAGAATGTTTGGTGGCTATGGACACATCATGGTGGCCGTGGTGGCATCTCCAGCCCTGAGGATGCCCCCAGAGCTGGTACCACCTTGGGGACCCCCCCCTGGGGAGGTGGGATGGAGCCCTGGGGCACTCACAGACGATGTCCAGGTAGACGGGCTCGCTGGTGCGGTTGTTGACCTCGTTGCCCACGGTGCAGACGTACCAGCCGGCGTGGCTGCGGTTGGCAGGCGTCAGGCGCAGCTCTGCCCCGGTGCCCCCCAGCCCTGCAGGGGATGCCAAGAGACCCCCCCGGGGCTCCCGGTGCTGCCAGGAGAAGCTCAGTGGCTCCGTCCCCTCCCGCACGGAGCAGGTCAGGGCCACCGCCGTCCCCTCCGCCGCCGCTGCCGCCGTCGGCCGCACAAAGGGCTTGGAGACGGGCACTGGGGGCAACCAGTCGAGCGGCCCCTGAAGCTGTGGCCACTTCCCCCTGTCCTGCCAGTAGCCCCCCCATCCATCTTGTCCCACCCAGGGAAGATCTTTCCAGCCCAGATGACTTACTGGCTAGTGAGGTGCTATAGCAGCTAGCGGGGTGGCTAGTGAGACCGCCTATGGGCTAGTGAGGGGGTGGCCTGGCTGTGGGCACGGGGATCAGCTGGAGTGGCCACGTATGGGCTGATGAGACCAGTTATGGGCCAGTAGGATGCTGGGTTGGCCGGGGTAAGGCGATGGGGATGGCTAGTGGGCTGCTCTGTTGGCTAGTAGGATGCTGGATTGGCTAGTGGGGCCCTACACTGGCTGGAGGCAGGGGAGCTCGTTGGCTAGCAATGTGCTACGCTGGCTAGTGAGGTGCTCTATTGACTAGTGGGCCACTCCCTTGGCTAGTGGGGGCTCTAGGCTGGCTAGTGGGGCCCTTTGTTGGCTTGTGGGGTGTTTCGTTGGCTAGTGGGCCACTCCCTTGGCTAGTGGGGGCTCTAGGCTGGCTAGTGGGGCCCTTTGTTGGCTAGTGGGCCACTACCTTGGCTAGTGGGGGCTCTAGGCTGGCTAGTGGGGCCCTTTGTTGGCTAGTGGGGTATTTCGTTGGCTAGTGGGCCACTCCCTTGGCTAGTGGGGGCTCTACGCTGGCTAGTGGACGCCTCTGTTGACTAGTGGACCACTATCTTGGCTAGTGGGAGCTCTACGCTGGCTAGTGGGGTCCTTTGTTGGCTAGTGGGGTGTTTCGCTGGCTAGTGGGTCACTCCCTTGGCTAGTGGGGGCTCTAGGCTGGCTAGTGGGGCCCTTTGTGGCTAGTGGGGGCTCTAGGCTGGCTAGTGGGGTGCTTCATCAGCCCACAGCCTTGGCCAGTGGATGCCTCTGTTGACTAGTGGGCCACTCCATTGGCTAGTGGGGGCTCTAGGCTGGCTAGTGGGGCCCTTTGTTGGCTAGTGGGATCCTTGTCAGCCCACAACCTTGGCCAGTGGACTCCTCTGTTGACTGGTGGGCGAGGGGATGCTCCCGGGGAAGGCGGCGCTGCCTGCTGGCCCGTGGCTAGCGGGGTGCCCCAGTGCGGTGACCGGCCGGGTGGCTCACTTACCCAGGACTCGCAGGAGGACGGCGGCGTAGCCCACGCGCAGGCGGCCGTGCTGCGGGAAGAGCCCCTGGCAGAGGAAGCGGCCCTGGGCGGCCGCCCGCAGGTCCCGCAGCTCCAGCGTCCCGTTGCGCAGGGTGACCCGGCCCAGCGTCCCCGCGCCCGCGGCCACCGCCACCTCCTGGCCCGAGCCCACCGCCACGGCCCGCGGCGGCCCCGAGCCCCCGGCGAAGCTCCAGAAGACCACGGCGGGAGGCCCCGAGGCCTCGGCCCCGCAGCTCAGCTCCACCGCCTGGCCCCGCACCCCCGTCTGCGCCCGCTCCTCGTAGCCCGCCTCGCCGGCCACCAGCGGCTGACCTGGCCCAGGGGTGTCACGAGTCCGTCAGGTCTCAGCTCAGGGTTGGCGGGGGGGGGTGAGGGGGTGTTGGAAATTTGGGGGGGTCTCTGCTCACCCCCCACCAGCGCCGGCAGCAGGAGGAGGATCCAGGGTCCCCGGCCACGCTCCATGGCGCCATGTCCAACAGGCAGCCCAAGCAGGGCCGCTCCTCTCACGTTACCCCCGGGTAATTAAGCACGGCCCTGATTAACCTTTAATTATTTATAACCCTGGGCAAGGCAGGGGGTGTGTGAGTGTGTGTGTGTGTGTGTGAAACCCAAGCCCTGCAATCTCAGGGCTGAGGACTGGCACGCTCGCTGCAGGGCTGGCAGCACCTCCTTCCCTTCCCAGAGGAAACGGTTTCCTCTTCCTCTCCTCCACCCCCTCCTCCCCCCCAATATTTTGGGGCTAAAAGAGGGGAAAATGATCCGCTGCCTCCCTGTCACACCCCCCCACCCCCGGCCGGCCTCGCTCAGACACGGGGGGGCCGGGCGCTGGGGTTGATATTTCATCCCCCATCAAACATTCATGGGGGGCGGCAGCGCTGGAACCCAACGGGGGGGCTGGGGCTGGGGCTCCCCCACGGGAGGGGTTTGGGGGTGAGGATGGTGCAACACATGGACACACACACACGGGGACACACACACACACACACACACACACACACAGACACACACACCCTCGCACACACACACACCTG